GTTCAACAGAGACTTGTCTTTATTAGCTATTGTTGGAAAAAAGGAATTGGAGCAGCAGAAAATAACCTACAGTGACATCTTTCAGGCATTATTTCATGGCATAATGTTTTGTTAATTTACTGAAATAATTCTGAAATTATTTATTATTATTTAAAACTTTAGATTACTTCTGTGAATCCACATTTTTTAAAGAATAGTTATGCCTAAGGGCAAGAAGTTGGACAATTTTACTTCTAAAGATTGCTTCCAATCCTATGATCTTATGAATCTATGTGTTTTTCTTCCTTCTGGATATATTTCCATACCCATAGTTCCCAGCCATTTTAGATGGGTTACATGGAGTTTTATGGAAATTAGTAGAGATTAAATATTGCATTAACAGTAAAACCTAGTAATTAAGATGTTTGGCTAAATAAACTCAGTTAACAGAAATTAAATTTTGTATTATTCCTTAGAGTTACTCAAATGTGAAGTTTTTAAGTGCTTAATTTTTAGACTTCTCAATGATGTATTTGTATTTTTTAACATTAAAGTTTTTGTGTGTTGGAGAAGTATTATGTAACTTTTAAATTTTTGTGTTAAAAGTTGTTAATGATTACTTTGTTTGATAGTATCTCATAATTTCCACAAGCCTTCTTCGTTCTTTTTTTATTCTCTTTTCTCCTCTGATTGGATAATTTCAGATGTCTTATCTTTGAGCTCACTGACTACTCTGGATGAAGTCGGCTGTTAAAACATTCCACTGACTTTTTCATTTCAGTTATTGTATTCATTATCTGTAGGATTTCTGTTATTTTTGTTTTTATTTCTTTGTCAAACTTATCCTTTTCTTCATGAATTGCTTTCCAAAATTTATTTAATATTCTATTCATGTTTTCTTGTAGTCGCCTGAACTTCTTCAAGAGAATTATTCTGAATTCTTTGTCAGTCATTTTATGGATTTCCTTTCTTTTGGGTTCATTACTGGGGCTTCATTTCTTTTGTTTGTTATATTTTCCCGATTATATAAGAAAAGCTGAATTTTAAACCAAGTGTATTCTACATTAGTTTCTTTTTTGTAATTTTAGAAATATTATTTTCCATAGAAACTGGTAAGATACGCAGATTCTAAAGTCATTCCAGAAAAAAAATAATATTGTGTTGGAGAAATAGCACTAATATTACCATTTTATCTACAGCTAAGACCATTTTAAGCTTGATTTTTATCACATTTTCTGAGTTTCAACATTAATTCCTGGAATCTCTATTTTTTATAAAAACTGTTATAGGTTTCATAGTGTGGTAAAGCTGGAGCAGGACATAGATACAGATATTTGTGTGTCACTTTTATACTTGTATAAGAGAAGGCTCCTCACTCTAAACCATTGTTTTTTAAACTAGGTTCAGCAGAACTCTAAACTTTTTGAAGGGTGCCTCAACCTTGCTTTTCAGTGGAACAGCTTTCTTTTTATTTGTTTAATATACTGGGATTTGCCTAAGAGTTTATCCTTCTAGTTATTAACCTGGTGATGAAACTGGCCCTTGAGTAAGCCTTAATAGATTCATATGCAGCTCTGACCTAATTTTGGAACCATAAGTTATTTCATCTCTCTGTGCTTTAGTTCTCTCATTTGTAAAATGGAGATGATGAAGGTACTTATTTCTTATGGCCTTTGTGAGAATTAAATAATACATGTTCATTATTTAGAATAGCATTTAGGGTTCAGTAAATGCATGAAACTTTGTAATAAATTAATACATCTCTGTTAGAACTGGCATCTATGTAATGGCACACCTGGAGTCTTATCCATCATATTGTTGACCTAAGGGAGGGAATGGAAGTGGTGAAGTGGATTGAGAGATGGGAGCTAGAATAAAAAATTTAGTACCTCTCTTTCAAAGGGCAGCTTGTAAGCTTGAGATAAAGAATCTTGCTGTGAAAGAGTGTAGAAATAAGATTGATACAAAAAGGAGGGTTTTTTTTTTTTTTTGGTGTGTGTGTTTTAATGGTGAAGACTTTAAGATGCTACTAAAAGAAAGTTTATTTCAGCCTGTTCTAAAGTTGTTTGTATATAACTTCCATTTTAGAAATAGTCAACTCTTCCAGATCTTATTTCTATAATTAGTTTCACATCTTTTCCATTGGTTCTCTGAACTGGTTAAAATTTGAATTTCTGAATCTGTGTTCCTGCAATATTTGTAGAGAACCAACTTCCAAAAGGATTATAATTTCTGAAACATTTATTGAGTCAGCATGGCTTTCAAATTTTTCATAGTAAGATTACTCTTTCAAGTTTTAGGATTGATCACTAAAAGATAGATTTTGACATCATCAGTTCCAGCTATCTGATTTTATAGTTGAGGAGGAACTGAAGGAAAAGAATGTGTTGGTTGAGATGAATTGATTAGTTATTGTCAGATTTGAAATGATAATTATTTTTCAATAGAGATGCTTTCTGAATACCATACTTTCATCATAGGTTAATTTTTCTTTTTCTTAGAATAATTTTGCTTTGGATTTTCTTAAATTTTTGTTAAGAAGACAAGGCAACTTCTTACAAATTATTTATTATGATTCCTCTGACTTCTCAAGAAGATAGATTAGAAGGGGTTCTTTCTGCTCTTGCTCGTTTGCTCACTGAATCAAGTGTGTAATAAGCATAAAAGGAAGATGTGAGAAGATTAATAAGGTATCATCTAATATGTATGTTAATAATATGACATTTTAGCTATTTAGTCTTTTGCTACATCTAGTTTCATTATAATTTCTGGAGAGATTCAAATTCTGAGTTTTGTTACATTAAAACTCCTCCCTCAAATAACAAACCAAATTTGCTTCAGTAAACAAAATTACCTGTGAATTTTGCATGTTTCCCAAAGATTTTATTGTAATCAACTGTCTGTTATAAATTTCTCCAATGAAAACTTGGAATTGAGTGTTGAAAGAAGTAGTTGACTGTAGTCTGTTCTAGTTGCTTTGGTGAAATATCAAAGTTGTTAGTAATTATTTAGTCTATACTGTAAACTACTCTTATAGTTATTTAATCATAGGCTAGCTTTTATCACTGTACACGTTTCTTTACCATTTTCTTCCATTTCTGTCCCCTTCCAGATCTTTTTCCTACCTTTCCCATTAGTAGAAATGCACAGTAGTTTCAGAATAATCATACCTAAAACACTGTTAGTCAAATCTGCTTTAAAGGACATATTCTAAAATTGAATGCCTTCTTTTATAATGTCTACATAGCAGCAGTAGCAATTTGTTTCTCCCTTTTTCAACCCCTGCCCCTCAGGAAATAAATGATATAAGTTGTAATGAATTCTTTGAACAAAAAGCACAGACTAGAAGAACCATATTTGTCATCATGGGGGACTGTCATGCGGAGGAGAGAGGGGACTGAGGGACAAGATACCACTGATGGGAGAGTTTTGATAGTGTCAAGAAGTGAGAGACTCACACAGCTTTGAGGATACTAGAAAATAAATATGACCTAATTAAAGAGTTTCTTCATGGCAAAAGAAACTATCAATGCAATAAACGGACAACCTACAGAATGAGTGAAAATATTTGGAAACTATGCATCTGACAAAGGTCTAATATCCACAATCTATAAGAAGATTAAACAAATTTACAAGCAAAAAACAAAGAACCCCATTAAAAAGTGGACAAAGGACACGAAAATACAGTTTTCAAAAGATGACATACATGTGGCCAATAAGCAGATGAAAAAATGCTTAGTATCACTAATTATTAGAAAAACACAAATCAAAACCACAATGAGATACCTTCTCACACCAGTCAGAATGGCTATTGTTAAAAAATCAAAAAATAATAGATGCTGGTGAGGTTGTGGAGAAAAGGGAATGTTTATACACTACTGGTAGCAATGTAAATTAGTTCAGCCACTGTGGAAATCAGTGTGAAAATTTCTCAAAGAACTTAAAATAGAACAACCATTTGACCCAGCAATCTCATTGGGTATATACACAAAGGAATATAAATAATTCTACCATAAAGACACAAGTGTACTCATATGTTCATTGTGGCACTATTCACACTAACAAAGACATGGATTCAAGCAAAATGCCCATCAATGATAGACCAGATTAAAAAATGTGGTACATATACAGAATGGAATAATGTACAGCCACAAAAATAATTAGATCATGTCCTTTGGAGTAACATGAACAGAACTGGAGGCCATTATCCTAAACAGACTAACACGGGAACAGAAAACCAAATACCATGTGTTCTTATAAGTGTTTGCTAAACATTGAGTACATATGGACACAAAGAAGGGAACAGGAGATACTGGCAACTAGTTGGAGGAAGGAGAGGATTGAAAACTAACTATCAGGTAATAACTATGCTTATTACCTAGGTGTCAAGATAATCTGTATACCAAACCCCCAAGACACACAGCTTACTTAAAAATTAACCTGCACATGCACCCCAGAACCTTAAATAAAAAATAAATAAACCATCTTTAAAAAAGAATGGAATGGAAAAACATGCAACTAAACAAAACAACCGTGAAATAATTCTTTAAAGTCATTATGTTGTTTTTCTCTCCCACTTCAAATATATGAGAGTTTCAAGCAAAAAAAGCAAAATATTGTTGCCATTTGGTGGTATTAGTCTTTTTGATTTTAGCTACTCTAGTGAGTGTGAAATGTTACCCTAATGTGGTCTTAATTTATATTAGATCATGTTGACTACTTTTTTATGTACCTATTTGCCATTCTTATATCTTCTTTTATGAAGTGTATGTTCAGTCTTTACTTGGATATATAGTAGTTTGTATATATTGTGGATGTGTCTTCTTCTGTACAGCTATCTTCTTGCTTCTACTATTAACAGTAACAACAACAAAAGGATGTTATACATAAAAGATATTGATACAATGAATACTTCTAAACTGCTGGCAGTTTTGGAAGGAAAGTAATCAGCATTTAAAACACAGACTTTATAATTTTAAATTTAAAACAAAAATTATATTCTATTTTGTTTTTGATTTCAGGTGCAGTTAAAAACTAGCATTTCTAGTCAGTATGTAATTCGGATGCAGCCAACTAATAGATGCCTTTCTACACTGGAGTGTGCAGCTGTTGCTCTTTCCATCCTAGAGAAAAATAATTACATACAAGAGGTATGTCTTTGGAAGGTTATAATTTTTGAAAGTGGAAGTTTTCTTAGATTTTACATAGAAGATTTAGACATACTTGTTAAATTTGTAACTCATGTGACAAGTAGAATCTTCTATGATAGATATTTATGTACTTTTATAACCTTCTTTCCCCTCTGGTGTTTTTCTGTGTTAGCTTAGCGTTACAGATCGCATTATATAAATATTCATACTAAGCTGTGCAAACAGCATTTGTAATATGCTAAATTATATTTAAGTAGCACAACATTAAATAGTTTTTGGCTAGATATTTCTTTTAGTGTTTTCTCTTTTCTTTTTTGTATTTTGTGTTATCTTATGCTCAGCCTTTTCTTTTTTGTTAAAAGAACATTCTATAGCAACATTTTTCTGTTTGCATTGGTGCTGTTATTTGAGTTGGTATACTAACTTTCTGATTCTTGTATTAACCTTGCTTAGAGTGTAATAATAAATTTTTATTTCTTTTCTTTTCTTTTTATTTTTGAGACAGTCTCACTCTGTTGCCCATGCTAGTGTGGAATGGTACAAACTTGGCTCACTGCAACCTCTACCTACTGGGTTCAAGTGATTGTCCTGCCTCAGCCTCCCAGGTAGCTGGGATTACAGGCGCCTGCCACCACACTCAGCTAATTTTTGTATTTTTAATAAAGATGGGGTTTCACCTTGTTAGCCAGGCTAGTCTCGAACTCCTGACCTCAGGTGATCTGCCCACTTCAGCCTCCCAAAGTGCTGGGATTACAGGCGTGAGCCACTGCGCCCAGCAAAAAGACATTTTTTTTGTGTGGAAAAAAAATGCCTAGAGAATATGAAAACATTATAACCTGCAATTATTTTATTTAATTTGTATGAAAACATGTTGATTTTATATATAATTAATAATCACCAGCAAAGAATAATGTTTCAGTTTGCTTACTAACATCTCAGTCTTTTGGAACATATAAGAAACTTTGCATTGGTAGCAAAAGAAAAAAATAGTAAAAAAACCCTAAGTTGTTAGTTTTTTTTTAATTATTGAAAAATGTTGATAAATAAAACTCAAGAAAATCAGAGGATAATAAGCACAACTAAATGGGATTTATGACTCCCCCTTCAAAACATAGCATAAACACACGCATGCACACACATACGTGCACACACACGTGTGAAGAACTGTTTCCTGCCTTCCTTTCTCATTATACGTTGTGGTTACGGGTATGAGTATGCCTTAAACATGAAGGAAATTTCAACAATGGATGTAAGCTCAGTTCAGCGTAAATGTGTTAGTTACCAAGATATTAATCCTAAAGAGAACAAAAAGATCTCAAAAGCAAGGAGTGTTAAAGAATGTTAGAAGCACGGAATTGCTTTTTTCCTCTCCTCTACCCTAAGCGGTGGAAAGTGTCAGAGTTGGAGACTTTTCTTTTGAAAGAAGTAGGCTTTCTTTTTATGTAGCCCCTCTCTCTCTCTCTCTCTCTCTCTCTCTCTCTCTCTCTCTCTCTCTCTGTGTGTGTGTGTGTGTGTGTGTGTGTGTGTGTGTGTGTGTGTGTAGACTTTGTTTCGGGTCTAGGCAATTTCACTTTCTCTGTTCTTTGAAAAAATATTCATGAAAGACCCTAGATTGTTACTTTAAATGAGCAAGGAGTGTTCTCAGATACTTTTCCATCTCTTCTAACCTTATCTCCTACTCCCATGTCCCTAGCCATGAACATAGTACTTTACATACCTCATACTTGTCTTTCTGTTTTATTTACCATCATTTCTGCATTTTCTTAAGCAAATGTATATACATACACAATCTTTATAGATGTCTTAATAGAATGATGTAACCCAGTGCTGTTGTTTAAACTTGCTTTCTCTACGGTCTCTGTATCTTCTTTTTTGTTGATGTAAAACTCTAAGATCAGACAACATCAGACTAAAGACCCATTGAAAGTTCAAATTTTGAGAGAAGAATATATTCCTTAGCTAATAGATTTAGAGCTTGCTTTTCTCCTTTTGGGTTCTGGAAAGAATTCTCTATGGACCTGTATCTCTTATCCCCACAACTGGAATTGGATCTTTACTGCAATCCAAAATGGAACCTTTAATGTTAGTAGTGGTGGTAGTTATGGTAATAGTAGTTGTAGAATAACAGAGTTAGAGTTAAGGATAGAGTTTCTACTACTAGTATTACTGTTACTACTGCTACTACTACTACCACTACTACTACAACTACTACTAATTCTGCTAGTGCTCCCTTCTCTCCATTTTTATATACTACTACTAATTCTGCTAGTATTCCCTTCTCTTAAGTTTTATATTATTTTGGTATTAATTAATATAGCATCTACTTGTAAAAAATGATAAATTAAAAAAATTAATGTACCATTATTTTAAGATCCTATTAACTAAGAATGTTTCAGGCTTTATTTTACAAATATTCGAGACTCTACAGTGTATTAGAATGAATTTTTTCCAAGTTGACTGATAAGGAACTTTTTGAAAAAATGTGTAACATATATTTAGGACAACTTTCTTAATGTTGTTTTAGGGCTTCTTCTCCATCAGCAGTTTTTTCATTCATTACTTTTGTTGTTTTATATAACCCAAGGCAGTGATGACATAAAGCCACAGGCTGACTTGAGTCTTGCTAGATTATGCTTTGTGATGTGATATCTTAAAAAACAAAACCAAAAAAGGAATCCTTATTGTGACCACTTGAGACTTGTAAAATACGTTCTGAGTATAGTGTCTAACAAAAGGCAAAGTTTAAGACAACAGAAAGGTGACAAGACCCTTTATCTCTTCAGCTTTTGTTTTTGTTGTCTGTGGATAAAATTAATCACAAAGTCCCAAGATAATAGTGAGCTCTTTGAGCCCTCATTCTGTTTGCTTTGGTGGCCAGGCACAAGAAGACTACAGTGGCCAGGAGTAGAAAAAGGATGTTTGACAGTCAAACCTGTGATTTGGGAGGTACTGATAACATGATGGGAGCATGAGCAGAAGAAATACCTAATGAAACATCTCAAGTTGCTTATTACTACAGATGGCAAAAATTGCCTCCAGCCACAATTTGTAGTAAAAGCTATTTTCCTTGTGGGGCAACCCCACCCCCTTTTCAAATCTAGTTAAAAGAAAAAAATTAGCGTCTAGTTACGATAGTAAATTAGCATCTTTGTGAACTGCAGTTTCAGTTTGCCCCAAACACTGGTGTTTTCTTTCCTTCATGGGGAGGAAAACCATGGCGTACACTTTTTCCCAATAACCTTTTATCAGGGGCATTCTAATAAAACCTTAAGATGATGGGGAAGAATAGTAAATTTTTTTTTCTTTTTCCTTTTTTTCTCTTCTCATTGGTTTGCTTTACTTCTCTCCCTGCCTCCCTCCCTCCCTCCTCTGTCTCTCTCTCTCTCTGTTTCTCTCTCTTTCTTTCTTTCTTTCTTTTCTGACAGAGCCTTGCTCAGGCTGGAGTGCAGTGGCGTGATCTTGGTTCACTGCAACTTCTGCCTCCCAGGTTTAAGCAATCATCCCACCTCAGCCTCCCAAGTAGCTGGGAACTACAGGTGCCTGCCATCATGCCCAGCTTATATTTGCATTTTTTGTAGAGATGGGAAAGGTGGGAGGAGTCTTATATTGTCCAGACTGGTCTTGAACTCCTAGGTTTGAGTGATCTATCCACCTTGGCCTGCCAAAATGTTGGAATTACAGGCTTAAGCCTCCAGGGCCACCAGAGAAGAGAAATTTTCACTTGGCTTCATTCTATAGAGGCAGGGCTCCTCAAAGTAAAGAACTTGGTAGAGAATAACTTTGTTAGTCTGTTGTCTCATCTTCATCCTTATTCTAGGGCAGTTTTTCAAACACCTGAAAGCATGGCTACATGAAAGTAGCAAGATGTGGACTTTGAAGTGGCTTTGAATTACAACTTAATTATCATCAGTTTTTGCAAGTGGGCAGACCACATAATTTCTTTGTACTTGTTTTATTGTACAAAAACAACTATTTGTTGTTTTCAAGAACTGAGATAATATGTTTCATAGGATTTCAAGAACTGAGATAATAATGAGTAATTGCCACAGTTGTCAACACAGACACTCAAGAAGAGTTAATCCTTTTGCCCTTCCTTTCCTCTATTATTTTTGCCTGTAGATTGGCAAAAGAAAGTGTGAACTAAAAGATGGTGGCTTTCATTAGCTCTTGTAGTATTTACCAGGACTTTTCATACCTTGGAAGCCTTTAGCTTGGGGATTTTTTTTATTACAGAAGCTTCTCTACTTGTGAAGTTTATCATAGGAACTTTTAAAGATAGATGTGGCAAAGCCTCCTGCTGTAGCCTGAGTGCCTTGGCTCTAGCCAGTGCCAATGGTTGGTAGTAATGGTTCCTTGAAAACTGTCAACTTTTCACATATGGCAAAAAGGATTTACTAGGACAGGCTACAACTTTAAAACTTTAAAATTGAAATGGCGTAAGATGACAAAAGTTTATGTGTCTCTCATGCTTTGTTCAGTGAGATTACCTCTGCTCATTGCAGTCACTCAGGCACCCAACCTGATGGAGGAACTATCTAGATAATTCATTCCACTTTCATCAAGGAAGGGGAAAGGAAGGTGATGAATCCTACACCACTTTTAATGCTTCTGCCTTAAGGTGACAAGTATTACTTTTACTCGCATTTCATTAACCAAAGTGAGTTGTATGGCTGTGCCCAGCTTTAAAAAGGGATGGAAAATGCAGTCTGATTATGTACCAAGAAGGAGGTCTGGCATATTTGTGAACAGCTATAGGGAGTGCCAACAGAGATGGAGTAGGGATCTAACCCAGATCTGCCTGTTTCCAAAATTTATTCTCTTCATTACCTCAGAAAATTGATAGAATCTTATCTTCAGAATGTAAAAGTAGGAATCTTTTGACCATAGGAATATTAGTTTTCTTCTGTAGGCAAGAATCTAATAAATATCATAAAATATCCATAGAATCTTCAGTTTTCTTGGTCTGTATGTGGTCCTAGGTATGTTTCCTAGGTACAATG